AACACAGCTCTCTAGAGCACTCCATCCAATATATCAAACTACTTTGAATCTAACCCAAAACAATTAACTAGAAACACAATTGTGATTTCCCATAGGAATTCCTTAAAAAGTAGATGTCAAAGGCACATGCACCTGTATTATGGTATCTTAGATTTGAAGATGTTGCTGCTAAGGCATTCTCCATTTTTAAGAATATGACCTCAAATATCTCAATAACTATAAAATGCTGTTATTCAATACATTAAATATATACCACAGCCTTTAAAGTGCTTAGAATGATAACAGTATGACTGGAAATGGATGAAGCCTCTCCGCCCTCAGTCTTTTTCTACTTAAGCCTAGTATACTACCTTGACGTCTCTGTAATAAGAGCTTTCAATCCCTGCCCCATGAAACCTTTTCCTACAAAGGTAATTTATTCTAGGGTAACAACATAATTCTGCTCTCATACCCTCTTATTTTGGAATTCCTCATGAGCTGCAGCTGCCAATTATCCCACATTATTTGGGGGTATTTCTGCTGTGGACTATCTCTAAAATTATTTCAAATCATCAAACTGAATTTGAACAATTAATAGCCTTACAAGTGAAATAAGAATAATTTATTAATTAAACCACACAGCATCTAGATTATTCATGTCTGCATTATTAATCACTCCCTAATCAATTCTGCAAATAGTGAGCATGTCACAGATTTTGGATAATACCATCTTTGGATAGCATAATAGCCATCACGGCTGACATTATCACAGTCTGCTCATCAGGTCCGCTGAATACATATCTTCCCACAAAACCTGCAGTTTTTGTATCATAAAGTAATGGGAACTATGTAAATTTCAGCCTTTATTTCCATGTTAGGAATTAATAATAAAGGGTATGTCTACACTACCCCGCTAGTTCGAACTAGCGGGGTAGTGTAGACATACCCAAATGGAGGTTCCCAAAGTTTTCCACAAATCCCCAAGGCACAAAAACACTGAGGGGAGGCCTGGGGTGAGTAGGACAGAGAAAGGATAAAGTCTGAGAACCCTGACTTTATCCCTCTCTCTCACACCACAAGATCAGCTTCTGTCCCACGAGGCTGGGCCTTGTTCCCTGCTCCAATACATTGTGGTGCTCTCATTCAGATTTGGACCAGCCATCTCTCTGTCCTGATGGGCCACACCTGAGTGCACCACATCCTAACACCTCTCAGCTTGAGGTTCTCTCTAAAACAGGGCACCTTGGGCAAACTGCCCCTTTTTCCTGCCCCCAAGGCAGCCCAAGGTGCATGAGACATGCTACCCCAAGAGACTTTGTGACTCACATCTGAATCACTGTAAAAAACACAAGGGATTAGCACTTTAATACTAGCGATTAGCATCTCAGAGAAGTTACAACAAAAACCTGCAGGTTTTCTGGGCTTTTCTTGATTTTTTTTTAACAGAAAATTACTGGTAGTGAGCACTTGCTTGTACATGGCACCAATATGGAGGTCTGTACCAAAATGCATAAATCAAACACAGAAAATAAACGCCAATCAAGATAAGGATTTTCTAGGATTAATTCATTTTTGTAGAACAACTCTAAATTAGATATTTAAAAATTTAATCAATTAATTAATCATGTCTTTTTAGATCATTTTAAAAATTTCAAATGCAGTGTAACTATGAAGTAATAAAACTAAACTACTTATCTACACAAAAATGTGACTTTTGTTACTTATATCTTTTTCTTTTTCAATTATGAAGTGTTTCAGATATTGAGGTGTATGTTCTCTCACTTTTTACTAGAGCCCTGTATGGATACAACATTTGCAGGGTTCTATTTTTCATCCCATCAGTCCTGACTTGGATGGATAATAAAAAATGCCAGTGAAGCAGTTCCAGATATTATTTGATCTAAATGAAGCTCTTAGAACAGGTGTGGGCAAATACCAGTCCACGGGCAATGTTCCCTCTAAGCTGTGTGGCAAAACAGCCCTGCAGCTGCTTAATCAGCTCTACTCAGCCAGGGACTCTCAGCTTTGCGCATGGAGCTCCTGACTTGGTGCGGCTGATTAAGCAGCTGCGGGGCTATGTTGCCACACAGTTTAAAGGGAAACTTGCCCATAGGTAGGATTTGGTCCATCAGGGTTAGCTCCTGGCAGACTGCCACTACTATATTTACCTGTATCACACAGATGTGGGCAACTGCAGTTCCCTTTGGCCACAGATCATTGTTCCCAGACAATGGGAGCTGTGGGAAATGGTGTCCTGGTCTGTGCTGCTTCCTGCATCTCCTCCTGGCTGGGAATAGTGATCTGTGACTAATGGGAGCTACAATAACAAGTACCTGTGGAGGCGCAGGTAAATATAGCAGCAGCAGTCCGCCAGGGACTAACCCTCATTAACTGTCACCATTTTATTGCCCACTCCTGGATTAGAATGTCCACCATTAGGCATTCATTTTGATTCTCCCTACTCTCTCCATATTACCTTATTCCTGCTTCCTTGTAAAAGGTACAAATTAATCTAAGGAAGACTATAATTTGCACTTGTTTACACTTTCTTGTGGTTCCTTTAGAACAGTGGTTCCCAAACTTTTTGGCATCACGCCCCCTTTTTTATTTTTGAAAAACCCTCACGCCCCCCCACCCAAAAATGGCAAAACTTGATGAGCAAAAAAAAAAAACTGACCGGGGCAGCAAAACTTGTTGGGGGAGGGGGAAGGGGAGCTGGGTCACCTCACGCCCCACCTGGAATTTCTTCCCGCCCCCCAGTTTGGAAACCCATGATTTTTTTGCTTTTCCTATACCCACAAAATTATGGAAAGTAGCTGGATGTGTTCAATCAAAATTATCATGGCATATTAAAAATTTCATATCACTCTCCACAAATTTTTCTATACACATATTTAATACTATGGTTCTCAACTTTTTTCATATTATGACCCTATGTTATGATACCAGTCTAAGTATAAAGAAAGGGAAGACTATCATGTCTCAGCATCAGACCTATGGCCACCCCACTGCAACCAGAGGTTGTAAACCACAGATTAATATATTGTGAATTTGTGTTGTGCTCTGAAATGTTTCTGATGCTCGTCACAGATTTCTAGGTTACACTGGTTTGCTCTATTAGCTTTTAAAGTTACTTGCATTTCACTTAAACACTAGAGTTGGTCCTAATGATTGTTGCTTACAAAACTTTTAAATAGAATTCTCAGTGTGAAATATTAGATAGAATGATTAATCCCATTTGAATAGAAAACAATAGCTGTAACTGCAATGTCAAATGCTTTGATGAAAAAAAAAACCCCTACTGAATTTCACTAGCTTCATTTCCAATTCCCACAGAGTTCACATTTCTATGGGGTTAAGTTGACCACAAAGGTAATTTTGCAAAGGTCCCACATTCAGAGGAATTAACCTTGTCTAAAATATTTAACTTCTTAGTGATGAACATGCATTCCTTCACAATTAACATCAAGAAATCATTTCCAACCTGATATTATTGATGGAAACCAGATGTTTAATTTTTTTTATTGATTTTGTTCCTGACTCCCCCTGAATTCTATAGGTTCTTATACACACATGGCAGTAACAACAAGCAGTAGACAAGCTCCTAAGCCATCCAACTTGTAGGGATAAACTGAGGCAGCCCATGGTATCTTGCTGAGAACTGAGAACTCAAATCCTAAATTATTAAGGCCAGGCCTGAGAATCACACAGACAGTAGCTATCATGACTCTGGTTCCTCTGGCAACCACATTCCAAAGGGGCTTCACTCTGATAAGGCCTGGCTGGTATCAGCCAGGCTGCGCGGTTTCTCTCACTGTCTCCTGTAATTTCAGATAAATAAGCTTGGATCCCAAGGACTGTGCCAACGCAAGGAAGTAGTCATCTTGCAGTAGGCATATCATAATTTCAGCAAAACAAGTTACCATCAACATGTCCGTTTTGTTTATGTTGGCTCATTTAGCTTGTTAGAAATAACTATCTGTATTAGTGATAATATGTTTAATTTGCAATGGGCGGAGATACTGTGTAACCTTCGTAGTTCATTGGCTTATGTGCTCATCTAATTTCCGCCGCTAGACCTATCAAATCATTTCCCCTCCACCCATCTACTGCCTATATAATCTAATGTATGTTTTGGTTAAGTTAGTGCTCTTCAGGTTAACCCCTGGTTGGTACTCCACCAGCGCTGGTGTTCAATAAATCTTCAGCTTGTTTTCACCTGCATCCAGTGTGTCTGAAATTATTCACTACACAACCATATAACTTACTAAAGGGATAAGAATGGGGAGTGGTTTGACATTTGAATTGTTATTTGTGAAAGTTAGATTCAATAATGCCCCCATAATGTTTTTTCAAACTCTACAAGGTAATCAAAAACTCATAAACAAAGTCCAAACTTTGACTCTCAGTGCACTTTTCAAGGTTAACCATTTACAAAGCTTCCAGATGCGAAGAAATGAAAACATTTATGTTCTGAAAAAATAAGTGCTGCTAAAGTTTGCTGGTGGTAAATTTCCATTTGTTAACATTGTAAGAGCACAGTGTCATTGATACATGGTGACCATAAAGCATCACTAGGATTATAGTTATCATGTAATCACCAAGAAATGCATTCACAACTGAGTTGTGCCTTTCAGGTTCTGTCTCACACCAAGAGTGGCGCAAAGATGCTCTACTCTGGTGGTAAATCCCAGGCATACAGGGGAAGTATGTCTCCTACTACACCGTTTAAGGAGTTGGGGCACATCATCCCCTGATTAACAAGTTAGTTTTGCTGCTTGGTGCAGGTGGATGGGTCTGGCCATGGCCTGACTGCCTCCTCCTCTCTTTGAATAATCCTAGGGCTCAGAGAGTCCAAGGATTCCAAGGTTAATTGTTAACTTATAAATCTACAGGAGAAGGAAGGTTGTGTGAGGGTCAATTACTATCTGAAGCTCAGTTAGAAACTAGCATAAATGAAAGAAGAGCAGTTGCACCAAGTCTCCGGGGACTAGTATTAGTTTTCCTTCTTCTAAGATTACCTTTGGTCATCAGGTCCATTCTGACTGCTGTTCAGGACAATCCTCCAAAGGTCTGAGGCTACAAGCTCTTTCTGATCATTCACAAGGCTGACACTGGGCAGCTGTAGCTCACAAACTTTGCTTTCTGATAGACTGAACTCCCGGAATGCAACAAATGATTTCTGGAGCTCATCCCAGTACTCCAAGCTACAAGGAACCTGTGATAGTAAAGAAATCTCAGTTACTTTGTACTTCTAAACAAATACATAAAACAAGTATCTATAGTACACTTATAAAGTCAAAATTAAACCAAAACAATTCCCAAATGACTGTCAGAATTTTTAATCCTTATTATGTATTCTGTGCTTCCTCCTTCTGTTAAGTTACCTTTTTACTAGACTGTTCTATCAACATATTACTCCAAACATCCTCTTACATATTGGGAAAGTAGTTATTACACCATAGAGCATATGCACCCACAGAAAATAATTTGAAACAATAAGTGAAAGAAACCTGGATAGCAGTAACTATGCAAGACATCAGAATTAGATGTGCTTGTAACACAATACAGGCAGTCCCCGAGTTATGCGGATCCGACTTATGTCGGATCCGTACTTACGAACGGGGCTTTTCTCGCCCCGGAGGACGCGGGCGGTGGGACCGCCCAGACGCGCCGCGGTCCCGCCTCGGCTCCCTGGTCTGCTGGGGGGAAGGGCGTAGCTAGTGTGGGGCCTCGCCCCCCAGCAGACCAGGCTTTTCTCGGGGACGCCTGTGGTAGAGCAGCTGGGGCACTGCCGGTTGGTCCCGCAGCGCCGCTCTCGGCGCTACTGGACCAACCCGGCAGCACCCCAGCTGCTCTGTCCCAGGCGTCCAGATTCAGCCGCTGTTGAAACTGATCAGCAGCTGATTCCCGGAAGCCCGGGGCAGAGCAACTCTGCCTCGGGCTTCCTGTAGTCAGCCGCTGGTCAGTTTCAGCAGTGGCTAAATCTGGACGCCAGTTCCGACTTACATACAGATTGAACTTAAAAACAAACCTACAGTCCCTATCTTGTACGTAACCCGGTGACTGCCTGTATAGCAAAAAGGCCAAAGCAATTCTAGATTGCATTGGTAGAGACTTAATACCATATGGTAGAAAAGCAACAGTTCTTTTTTAGGCTTTATTGTGATCTGAAATAATGTGTTTATTTTTGGCCCCCATTAACAGAAACATATAGAAACCAGAGAGAATTAAGGGGAAGCCACAAAAATGACCAAAGGAATAGGGTGCCTGACAAATGAGGAAAAGCCCACTGTATACTGACTGAAAGGAGATAAAAAACAGTTTTAACATTTGAAAAGAAACTGATTTATATGCACAGTATTTTTCCCTAATTTTATTTTAAGATGTACCTTAAGAAATGTAGAATAGACATATATTAGGTTTCAAGATATCATTTATGAGTTATAAAGTAAAAGGTCAAACACGCAGTTTATGTGATCTCCCTAAACTAACTACAGCTAATATGCTTTGGGACTGTCCAAAACTCTAAGCGTACTAGGCTGAAGAATGCAAAAGACTTCCTTGATTTAGAATCCTATATTCCCAAACATCTAGATTTATTCATTCTAGGGGGCTTATTATTGCTAATGCCTGATCTGGATAAATTTAATGTATGATGGGACCTCTGGGTAGCATTAGCTGCCAAAAACAATTGTTGTGAAAGACTGAAAATAGGCTATATCCCCAAAACCGAGTCACTGGCAGTGGGAATGAGTGAATTAGATGTACTAGAAATGCCCCATGTGTAAAATTAAATATGGTTCTTTCATCTTGAAATGTTTGAGTAACACTCTAGCTACAATTCAAACAATAGTTACCTCCCTCAGAATGTGGCTTCTGTGATTTCCTTCAGAAAACTAGGGTAAACACCATGGCTACAAGACTAGCCAACAATCTGCACTAATAAACAACTACACACAAGAATCCTGGTACCTCTGTTGACAAAACTTTCCTTTTTTCCCTTAGTTATCAAAAAGGTGCATAGTTGTGATCATGTTCCTCATCAAAACCAAGAAAGAACACTGGGTATAGCTTATATCTCCCAATTTCATTTGTTACATGGAGTGCAAAGATACTATTTAAGCCCCCTCTAGCCTAATACTGAACTCAGAATCTCCAAAATCAACTTTTCAAAATGGCTGCTACATATTTTAGTATATAAAAACCTTACTCAGAACAGGCAGCACTCTTCCTCCATGTAGGGATACTACAGCGCAAAGCAATACAAGCACTCAAAGTTTTAATCTCTCTTTTGGTAGCTTCTGTGAAAGCATTAACGAAGGGAACAGTTGAGTTACAGACTAATGTGTTCATGTGTTGCCCTCACAGATGCTCCTACAGCCTTTTATTTATGTACGGTTTCATTTTTTTGTTTGAAAAAAGGCTTCTAAAGATGAAATGTTCACTTCTTGAAATGCTATCCTTCACACGGTGGGTGCTTCCCCTTGGAGATGAAGTCACTCCTGTTCTAGAAACAACTACTGTACAACAAAACGCACACAGAAGACAGGAAACATGTGTGTGTTTGATTATCTCTTAACAGGGCCACCTAAGTGAAAGAAAAGCGGAATACAAAACAATCTTGTACTTTGTGTCAGACGCCAACTCATGCTGCGATTTTAACCCACGCTTCCTGTATGATTGCTCCATAATATGGCTATCCTGGTATTAGGATATTTTTCTGTTCTACAGCCAAGTGCCTTGAAAATACAATTCTCCCTTTAGATGAATTGAAGAAATAGCAGAAAAAAAAATAAAAACTCTTGTCCAGATTACTGTAAGAAGATAATTCTTGGCAATGTTCACCTGTAGTCTGTATTTTTTAATTTTATTTTTAACATAAAAAAACGGCATCAAAATTGCAAAAGCAATGTTAGTTGAAAATTGCATTATAGAGAAAGTGAATTCAAAATAAAATTAAGGATAAACAAATATAAAAAACAAAATGTGTGTATATACATTTTTAATAATCTAAACTGAACTCTAGAATTTTGACAATTTTTTTTTAACAATTTCAGAATTTTTCAATGCACACTTGCCAGATTAACTTCCTATGCAACTGAGTGATGTGAACTTACAGTGCAGAGCAAGTTACCTTCAAGAAATTGGATAACATTTCTGACCTCCTTCTCAAGGGAGTAAGATAATATCTTACCACTGTTGAAAATAATCTCTTCTGGCATATCTATGTTCTGGAAATTCACTCCATTAGACTTTTGATGTGGATCCAAATAAAAAATAGAGGTAATTCAAAGTCAGATACAGCATAATGACGTTTCAGCTATTATGTAATCCAATAATGGATGGTTGCAAAAAGGAAATTATGTTGGTTTCATTTGCATCTTTGTTATGTTGATTTTGTGACATTCACACTATTTTGCTATATCCTTAGACTTTGGACACTGAAAATTTTCTTCAACAGCACACTCTCACGGCCTAACATATAGTGATAAGCAGATACTGTAATTGGAAAACCTTTAAGGAGTGGGCAGGCATCAGTGGAGAAAGAACAGGTTAAGAACTATTTAGAAAAGCTAGACCTACACAAATCCATGGGTCTGGATTTAATGCATCCAAGGGTACTGAGGGAGTTGGCAAATGTCATTGCAGAGCCTTTGGTCATTCTCTTTGAAAACTCGTGGAGATCAGGAGAGATCACAGATGATTGGAAAAAGGCAAATTTAGTGCCCATCTTTTAAAAAGGGAAGAAGGACAATCCAGGGAACTACACACCAGTCAGCCTTACCTCAATCCCTGGAAAAATCATGGAGGGGATCCTCAAGGAATCAATTTTGAAGCACTTGGAAAAGGGGAATGTGATCAGCAATAGTCAACATGGATTCACCAAGGGCAAGTCATGCCTGACCAATCTGATTAGCTTCTATGATGAGATAACTGGCTCTGTGGACATGGGGAAGTCGGTGGATGTGCTTTACATTGATTTTAGCAAAGCTTTTGATATGGTCTCCCACAATATTCTTGCCAGCAAGTTAAGGAAATATGGATTGGATAAATGGACTGTAAGGTGGACAGAAAGCTAGATTATCAGGCCCAATGGGTAGTGATCAAAAGCTCCATGTCTGGTTGGTTTCAAGCAGAGTGCCCCAAGAATCAGTTCTGGGGCCGGTTTTGTTCAACATCTTTATTAATGACCTGGATGAAGGGATGGATTGCACCCTCAGCAAGTTTGTGGATGACACTAAGTTAAGGGGAGAGGTAGATATGTTGGAGGTCAAGGATAGGGTCAAGAGTGACCTAGACAGATTAGAGCAATGGTCACCAACCAGTAGACTGGGATCTACTGGTAGATCTTGGAGCCTCTGACAGGTGATCCTGACTAGTTTGGCCAAAAGGCTATTAAGTGCCGGCACTTCAATTGTCCCTCCCCCTACTGCTGTGCACCACCTGCCCTTTGCCTTTGATCTGCCTCACCCATCCCCGGAAGCCTCCTGCTTGCTGTGCAGGGCAGGACAGGGGGAGGAGGGGTACTGATGTCAGGATGCCCCCTCTCCCACCCTGTATCCTGTCTCCACAGTGCAGAGAGGGGGCACAACAGGACTTGGGATGGAGTTTGCTGGCTGCTTTTGGGAGTGGTGCAGGGCCAGGGCAGGGGTGAGCCTGCCTTAGCCCCACTGCATCACCCCCCAGGAGCCATCTGAGGTAAGCAGTGCCCAGTCAGAGCCCACATCATGAAAATCTACCCCAGTCATGAACCCCCTCCTGCAGCCCCAAGCCCCTGCCCTAGCACCCCCTCCATCCAAACTCCCTATCAGAACCTGCACCTAGAACCCCCTCTGGCACCCCAACTGCCTGCCCTAAACTCAGATCAGAGCCCTTCTCGCACTCCAAATCCCTTAATCCAAGACCAGAGCCTGCACTTCAACCAGATGCCCCTGCCTGGTGAAAGTAAGGGAAGATGGAGGAGGGAGGATGCAGTGAACAGGGGTGGGGCCTCAGAGAAGGGGCACAAAGGAGGCGGGGGAAGGGTATCTGGGTTTGAGGTAGATCTTGGATTGCACTTAAATTCAAAAAGTGATCTCATGCTTACAAAGGCTGGAGACGACTGAATTAGAGGATTGAGCCAAAAGAAATCTGACGAGGTTCAACAAGGACAAGTGCAGAGTCCTGCACTTGGGACAGAAGAATCCTAAGAATTGTTACAGGCTGGGGACTGAC